CCGCCACCTTAGGTGTACGTGGCTGGCGCCTTAGCCGGTTGAGCTACAGGCGCCGAGCCCAGAGAGTGCCTTTTGGGGAAACAGTCCTTCTGGACCTAATAATTTCTAAGCAGAGTGTGGCCAATTCACTACTGATGCCAGCACACACAACTCCTGAATTGACACAGTGGGCTGCTGAGAGCACTGAGGAGATCATTAGGGAGAGACTGAACATCTATGCAGCTTACAACATGCTCCTTGGCAAAAGGAACACAGTCTTCCAAGAATTGACCTAAATTCAGGCAAGAGTTTACTGATGTAGACAAATGCTTGAATCTGCAGATAGCAGGATCATCAGTGAGTGAGGGGTTTTTTTGGGAGGGGGCGTTCTTCCTTGTCTAATTTTAGAGTCAGCTTGAGCTGCTCTCTTAAGAGTCAGTACTGAGACTGGTTCCACTGGATGTGAAGTTGTGTAATGAGGCTTTGCTTTAACGACTACTTCTGCCCAGATCTGTTCCTAGAACTAATCTACACAAAGAGACCTTGCATGTCACACAAGATCTGACCTGGATCCGTGTAAAATTTTGTAGACAGGACACTGGTGCTGCTGGAGGGAATGGTAAAGTCCTTTGTCCAATCAGAGAAGTCCTGGAGAGATATAAAGCAGTATGGGGAGCACAATGAGGCCACAGAAATGGGACCCATTTTCTGAACACAGAGCAGAAACAAATTGATTAGCTTCAGATACCATCTTCCAACCTCACAGCTACCAAAGAACTCTATAAATTTAAAGGGACCTTGCTTTCTCAAAGCTCTTTCTTGGCTCCCTTTCACCTGTGACGTAAAATCTGAAGTCTCCTCTCTTTGTCCAGCCTCCTCTCTCAAGCTCTCCAATCCTACCTGAGCTATGCTGAGCCTATTTCAGTTTCTAGACCAGGATCTACCCAACTCTGGAGGGGTCCAGCTGCATGCTCTCCTGTGCGAGGAACTCCTCCCATCCTTGTCCATAGAGCACACTTGTGTCTCTTACAGCCTTAACCTAGCTCTAATCACCTCTGTAAAGCCTTCCCCTGCTCTTTCTTGTACCCCCTGGTCTTCATACTGTATGTATCTTTTTGCACTAAAGCATTTCACTATCTTGCCATGCTCTGTGTGCTGGTGGGCTTATTTTCTCACTGGAGTATGCAGTCCTTAAGGGCAGGCACTGAGTCCTGTCCACCTCCACAACCCACTGTACATCTCAGGAGCCTACAGAGCTTTTCTCCTGGTAGGAGCTCAAACATTTGCTAAATGAATTAACTCCCTTTGCATTTTATCTCCGGCAAAGAAAATCACACTTGTCTTCTCAGAAGCAGGAACATATTCAAATACCAAGAAGTGCAGTTCCTGGTAAGACCTTTCAGAAAATGATGTTACCAATAGCAGCAACTGGAAACTCAGCGGAATGTTTAAGTGCTAAAAAGAGTGAAATGGGCCAAGACTTGAACAGTTGTGAATTAAAGTAGCCTCGGGGAGTGGGCTGGGGAGGGGAGATTCATGGTGGTCTAAAGCTCAAGAAACTTAAGAATCATAAACTTACCCAATGATCTTGAAAGATCAAAAAAGAAAAAAAGTCACAAACAAATTCTTAAGAATTACATATATTTACATTGTAGATCTGGGATACACTTATCAAGGTAGGAGCTGCTCAAATCAATCTGAATGCCACCCAATCTGGGAATGCCTCCCCCACTTAGAGCCAGCATTTCAGATTGATGATAAGCTATTTCCAGCTGGAGTGGCTTTGAAAAGTCCACTCTAAAATGAAGTCATCTCTTGTCACCATCCTCCTCCTTAGTCTTCCTTCTGGGCCAAGTACCATCCGTGACTCCTTAAGGGGGCTTCCCTCTTTCAATTCTCCATGAGGCTCTCAGCATGGTCCGGATTATGAGGGCTCTTCAGCTTGGGGGTAGACAGGTGCTCCAACTCATAGTGCCCATTCTCAGAAGTCTTGTGTGTGAGTTTCTCCTTCATGCCCTCCTTCTGGCTCCTCTTGTGCTCAATAATCTGTTGGAGTTGGTGCCCAGCATATTCTGGCTTGGTGGTTAGTGGGCCAGCAGGCACAGCTACACCAAGGACATCAGACACCATGTAGGGGCGCAGCCAGCCAACCAATGGAGTGCTTCCAGGGCTATAGTGGGTCTGCTTGTGGTAGAAGAGAAGTCCATCTACCTACAAGAGGGGAAATTAAGGATCAAAATAACTCTGGGGCCACATTGCCAGGAGAGACTATACACATGGCTCTTATAGTCCAAGTCCTTATTCTGGGTTGCTGATAGAGGGAAAAAAAAGAGTCCTCACTCCTCCCATAAAGAAATGGCTTAGGGTGGCATGTGTGGCTCAAAGGAGTAGGGCGCTGGCCCCAATGCTGGAGGTGGCGGGTTCAAACCCAGCCGCGGCCAAAAACTGCAAAAGAGAAAAAAAAAGAAATGGCCTAGAAAACTAAATTTTTGAAAATACAAACATAAATAGTACATTTCTGTTTACAAGGTGCTCTCCTACCTGCTGTTTTACCCTCTTCTCTACCATGAGGATGTGTGGAAAAAATAGGGTTGTTCAGACTCAGGGAGTTCTGAGGGCTTCCCTAAAAACACGCAGTGAGTACAAAGCAGAACTTAAACTTAAACCCAGGCTGGGCACAGTGGCTCATGCCTATAATCCCAGCACTTTGGGAGGTGGAGGTGGGCAGATCACCAGAGCTCACAAGTTCCAGACCAGCCTGCACTAGAGTGAGACCCTGTCTCTAAAAATAGCCGGATGTTGTGGTGGGTACCTATAGTCCTAGCTACTTGGGAGGCTAAGGCAAGAGAGTTAGGGGTTGCTGTGAGATGACACCAGGGCATCATCTACCAGAGGTGACAAAATGAGAACTCTGTTCAAAAAATAAAGAAATAAAAATAAGAAAGAAATAAACGTGAATAAATAAATAAATAAACTGGAGTTGGTGCCCAGCATATTCTGGCTTGGTGTTAGTGGGCCAGCTGGCGTAGCAACACCAAGGACATCAGACACCATGTAGGGGTGCAGTCAGCCCACCAGCGGAGTGCTTCCAGGGTTCTAGTGGGTCTGCTTGTGGTAGAAGAGACATCTTCTGCCCCCAGATTCCACACACTTCCCACCACTCATGAGATCTGTGTGGCAGTGGATGAACTCCATGCACAGAACACAAAGGGGAAGTGGACAGCCCCTCCAGGCGCTAGACTGCTGAGCATGGGGAACAGACTATCCAGAAGCCCTGCTTTCCCAGCTATTGTCGGCTGCCTGAGCCTCCTCTAAACTGTCTGCAAGCCATGTTCTGGGAAACTCAGTTTTTCTCAACGGGAAGACCTCCTACAGTTCCACATTTTCTTTTCTGTGATTCAGTGACTCATCTCTAAAAAGCATTTATTGTCACTGGGGCATAAAGGTTATAAATAAAAATGGTGTTCTTACCACCTTCTTAATTGACTCTCAGGAATTCAGGCAACTCAGCTTTTGTCATTTCCTCATTCAGAAAGCTGTGATCCTTTTATAAAATTATATCCAATTCAAATAAATACTTGTGGGTGACTAGGCAGAATTTTTTTTTTTTTTTTGAGACAGAGCCTTGCTTTGTTGTCCTCAGTAGAGTGCCATGGCATCATAGCTCACAACAACCTCAAACTCTTGGGCTCAAGTGATTCTCTTGCCTCATCCTCCTGAGTGGCTGGGACTATAGGTGCCCGCCACAATGCCCAGCTATTTTTAGCGACAGGGTCTCACTCTTGCTCAGGCTGGATTTAAACCCATGAGTTCAGGCAATCCACCCACTTCAGCCTCCCAGAGTGCTAGGATTATAGGCATGGGCCATTTTGCCCAGCCTGACCAGGCAGAATTTTTTTTTTTTTTTTGAGACAGAGCCTCAAGCTATCCACCTGGGTAGAGTGCTGTGGCAGCACAGCTCACAGCAACCTCCAACTCCTGGGCTCAAGTGAGTCTCCTGCCTCTGCCTCCCAAGTAGCTTGGACCACAGGCACCCGCCACAATGCCTAGCTATTTTTTTTGGTTGCAGCCGTCATTGTTATTTGGCAGGCACGGGCTGGATTCGAACCCACCACCTTAGGTATATGTGGCTGGTGCATTAGCCACTTGAGCCATAGGCGACGAGCCACTAGACAGAATTTTATAGGGTGTAATGGGCAAAGGAAAATTTGATGGTTGAGCCTGAAGAGGATAGCAGGAAGAACAATACAAGAAGGACCTGCAAGTGGAAGTCTTTTCCCTATCTGGGCCTTGTTTTACCCATCTAAAAATGAGGGAGTAGATGAGCTATCCTTAAACGGCCCTTCCAGTTCTGGCATTCTGACTTATTTATCTGGAATAGAGCTAAGGCTCTGAAGGGCAGTAGGCACATCCTTTCCCCAGAATCAGCTTTCAGTCCCTTCCTGATGCTTTGACACAGCAAAATCAGAGGATTATTTTAAGACTTTGTGTAACTTAGTCTCCCCATATCCTATAATCACATCAAGGCAATAAAGACCATAGTTTTGTTACCTCAAAAGGGAAATCCATAGAAAGCACCTTACACAGGCTTTCAGGGGTACAAGGGAAATTCTTTAGCCCCACAAATTTAAACTGAAATGTAAATTGAAACAAATAATTAGTACATGTTACAAATGATACTGGTTCTACCAATTGAACAGCTCTAAAAAAGGAAAATTTTCAGTTTCATCCTCTCTACCCTTTCCCCTTCTCTGATCCTCTGAACTACTCAACCTTCCTTTATACACAAGAATCAGGCCAAGCCTTGTAGCTCATGCCTGCAATCCCAGTTCTCTGGGAGGGCAAGGCAGGAGGATCCCTTACAGCCAGGAGTTCAAGGCTACAGTGAGCTAAGATCTCACTACTGAACTCCAGCCTGGAAGACAGACAGAGAACTTGTCTCAAAAAAATTAAAAAAGAGGCCAGGCGTGGTCTGTAATCCCAGCACTCTGGGAGGCCCAGGCAGGTGGATCACTTGAGCTTTAGGAGTTTGAGACTAGCCTGAGCAAGAGCTAGACCCGGTGTCCATTAAAAATAGAAAAAAATTAGGTATGGTAGTATATGACTGTAGTCCCAGATACTTGGAAGGCAAAAACAAGAAGATCATTTGGAGGCCCAGCCTCCAAAAAAAAAATCATCTGAGGAGCTTTTAAAAATAATTACTGATGCCATGCCCTACCCTGAGATCCTGATTGAACTGGGTGGGTCTGGGTGGGTCCAGACTTTTTTTTTTTTTTT